CGGACCGTTCTATCCCCAAAAGCGGAGATTTGTCAATTCCTAAGAATTACAGACCGATAACATGCTTGAATTCGTGTTATAAGTTGTTTACAAGCATCTCATACACACGAATACTCACCGCAGTTGACCGAGTGTTCCAACGGATATATGAGCAGAGAGGATCGAAGAGAGGAGTCGCTGGATGTAAAGAGAACCTGCTCATCGATAGATGTGTAAGGCAGGACTCGATACAATATAAGCGTAATCTCTCTATGGCCTGGATCGATTACCGAAAGGCATTTGATACAATTTCGCATGAGCTTATCTTGCATTTGCTCAGATGCCTTGCGGTACCCGACAAATTAGTGAGATGCATTGAACAATTGATATCAGTTTGGCGAACTCGCTTCACCATAACATCTGGTCAAGCAAGAGTCCAAACAGGGAGGGTAAATTTCAGGGTGATTCCCTCAGTCCCCTTCTCTTCTGCACTTCACTATTGCCATTATTCGTTGCGCTCAGAAATACTCGAGGGTATAATTGTGGTACCCCGGAAACCGGAGGTTTCTTAAAGGATCTTAAACTTTATGCCTCTGGAGAGAAGGATCTCCATCAGTCCTTGAGGGTGGTGGAAGAGTACACGCATGCTATCGATATGAAATTCGGGATAGACAATTGTGCAGTGGTCCATCTCAAAAGAGGACGATGCGGGGACTACGAAGAGGATGTGCAGCTCGTAGATGGAAGCATCCTACACCATCTGGATGTCGGAGAGACGTATACTCACCTCGGGGTGGAACAACGCCACTCACAAGAGGTAACAGCAGTGAAGAACTCTCTTCGCGGCAAGTATCAGCACAAACTTCGACAGATCTGGTCATCGGACCTGTCGGGGAAGAACAAAGTTGCTGCAACAAATATTCTTGCCGTTTCAATCTTACTCTACTCGTTTGGAGTAGTGAAGGGGACTCGAGAGGAGCTGTATCAACTTGACGTAAAGACCCGAAAAATGATGCATCTCTATAGGAGTTTGCATCCCAAATCGTCCGTTCCACGTTTGTACTTCCCCCGACAACAGGGAGGCTTTTGAGTTTGGAGTGTCTACATGACAGAATGGTACTTTGAGTGGACGCATGAACTGAGAGATAGCCTAATGCATTGCTACGAGAGTAGTGAGCCCGCGCGAAGAGGGTACATGGCGAGATGGCATGCTATGTGGTGTGAAACACATCCGGAGCATTCCGCCTTTTCCGCCCAAAATCTTAGGGATTACGTATCCTATCTTCGGGGGCAGGGCTACATAACTTCTCCCCAGCCTGCTAACGAAGTGGTAGAAGTGTCAGTTATACCACCCATTGGTACAGCTGGAGAGGATACTCGCATCATGCCACCAATCGAGTTAATCAGAACACGTAGGGCGCTCCACAGTATTAGGCCTCTGAAGCCACAAGAACTGGCTTGTTCGGGTGCGGAGGTTCATAGTGTCCTAACAAAAGAGACTGGCATCTGCCAAATCGACACCGCCGTGTATAATGTCGTCGAATCGCTTTCCGAATCGGAAGGGCGGAATCCCGGCCGTGAAGTTCGGAAGATTGAACGTCGTGTACACAAGATGGAGGCTAAGATCACGTCGTCGAGACAACACGCGTCTCATATCCAATGTGTGATGGATTACAGGGCGGCCCATAGGCCTTTCACGCCCGCAGTGCGGCGAATAGCCGCCAATCTACGACGTATCCATCTCACTTTAAGTCAAGGCGCGTTGCTGACCACCAAACAGCACTGCCTTGATAGGATACGAATGCTAGTGGCTGCTTAGAAGTCGCTAGTGAGGCGAGCGAGAAGTATCGCGGAAAACCTTAGGTTCCGCGAGAAACATTCTCGCTTATTCCAAGAGCCTCCACGTGTTGTGGATAATCCGCCGACCGCTGATCAGGTGGAATCCTTCTGGAAGGATATCTATGAACACTCGCAGTCACTCAACTTAGACACTTCAGCCCTAGCGCAGTTCGAAGCTTTCAACAGAGAGCTTCGACAGCCTGAGCTCAATGAAATGCGCAACCCGATAACCCCGGATGACGTTTGAAGGGCCCTTGTTGGTTCCAAGAATTTTGCTGCTCCAGGCCCAGATGGGTTGAACACTTATTGGTGGAAAAAACTACCAAGTACCCACCGCCATCTGGCCAGAGTTTTCAACTCATGGCTGGACGGAGAGCAGCCGATTTCGAATTGGTTTGTCGAGGGGCGGACCGTTCTTATCCCCAAAAGCGGAGATTTGTCGATTCCTAAGAATTACAGACCGACAACATGCTTGAATTCGTGTTATAAGTTGTTTACAACCATTTTATACACACGAATACTCACCGCAGTTGACCGAGTGTTCGAACGGATATATGAGTAGAGAGGGTCGGAGAGAAGAGTACCTGGATGTAAAGAGAACCTGCTCATCGATAGATGTGTAACGCAGGACTCGATATAATATGAGGGTAACCTCTCTATGGCCTGGATCGATTACTGTAAGGCATTTGATACAATTTCGCATGAGTTCATATTGCATTTGCTCAAATGTCTTGCGGTACCCGACAAATTAGTGAGATGCATTGAACAATTGATATCAGTTTGGCGAACTCGCTTCACCATAACATCTGGTCAAGCAAGAGTCCAAACAGGGTTTCAATAACATTGGAGACCTTGGCTTATCAAAGCGCCTGACGTTCGCTTTTCTCAGGTCGAGTGGGCTGAAGTCGAAAACTGAAAATCAGAATTTTATGGCAGTTTATTTCGGTTTCGGCAGATATGGCTCAGTGATTTATATAAGTAAATAGAAGTAACAGTAAGAATTTTTTGGTTTTTGTATACATCGCGACATGAAGTTTGATAAGGTAGGTCAAAAATTAATCGCAATATTCTTTTTTGTTATACAAACACCCTTTGGTTATCACGCCCTTGCACCCATACTATGATACTATAGGAAATCGCAGAGTAAGCATACGAATAATAGACACTCAATGAAGTATCCCTATGTAGCATAGATTTCAAAACAGTCAATAGATAGAAACACTGATTGATTTTTTACAGACACTACTAATTTGCCTCCCAAGATAAATTACAGTCGAATATGGTTCCGAGAAATTTTGCAGACTTCGGTGTATTGATTAAAGTGCTATTTAATAATAATGAGCAATCGGTTTTGTTACTCTGAAAGTAGTTATTGGCCTATGTTCATCAAATGAGTTATTCAAACAATTTACCAAATATGTAGCTTTTTCTTCAATACTTTCTTGGTCATATATTTAAAAAAATGAAGTATTGAACAGATCTACCTGAAAAAGATCTTGGTTAAAGGCTGTGAAGCTCCTGTATGTACAGAGTTTGGGATCCTGTTGCTTCTCACGTACTCTCAACTTACAATATACTAGATCGGGATCAGAAATGTGAGTTATAATACCATTCTTTACCTGACTTCCCTCTTGGACTATAACATAGTCCAAAAGACTTGCTGACGTGACTGTGACCCTAGTAGGAACATCCATCAACTGACAAAGATTCAGTGTCTTCAGTATTGAGTAAAACTTTTTGACTCCACTTCTCATTATCCAATAAATTTAAATTGAAATCCCCCATATATATAATTTCATCTACCGTTGGTCCTACTGTATCCAAGCTTTCCTCAAATTGATCCAAAAATACATTTGTATTCTGTTCATGAGGATTATAAATTACACCAATAGCAAAAGCCTCTTTTTCAACAGTACCTAGGTAGTTCTTATTTAACACTGTTCCCAAAAGTAACTTGGTGTTGAAAAAACGTTATCCTTTATGCATCCCCAGACGAAGAAATCTAAAGGAGTAAGATCTGGAGATCGAGCTAGCCAGTTAATTGGTTCATTGTTTCCAATCCATTTTCTTGATAATATCAAATCTAAATGTTCTCTTACTATTGCTGCATTATGAGGAGGAGCGCCGCCCTGTTGAAAATATTGTATTTCATGGCGGATATTCAGTGGCAATTCATCTAAGTAGCCATCGAATTCATTGAATAGAAAATGAAGATACATTTCACTATTCAAATGATCATCGTAAAAGAAAGGACCAAGGATATCATTCAGTTTGTACTATAAACATTCGTTATGAAATTGGAATAGATATCATTCACACGAACGCTACACAATGTAGCATATCAAAAAATATTTATATGAAATGTCACTTAGATGGAACACTATCTATCATCCTCAATGGTGTACTTCGAAATTTTGGGACAAGACACTTGTTTTATCACCTGATCGGCACCGTTTTGGGTAAATTTACAACTGGACGTTACCGGGAAATGAATAAATAAATAGATAAAAAAGTTATTTCCACATTTTTTGTTCGAAAATGAAGAAGTAGAAAGCCAAAACGTTTTTTCTCCAGAAATATATGGAATTTGCGGAAACACTGAGTAAAAAAATTATTGCGTGGACGCGGCTGGTCATCAGTTTGAACTTCAATCAACTAGATAGATATGTATTTAGTCAGCAGTTAAACAAATTTCAAAATGTGAGAATTTCAATAAATGAATAATATTTCATGATCCCAAAATACTATTGAGTTATTTTGAGATGATTATTACCGTCGCTTGGGGGTGCAAGAGGCTATGTCACAAATACCAGAAAAATACTACCAATTAAAAGAAATTGCAGATCTCTGCGCTGTTTAAATGTTGGACAGGTTCATGACGAAAACTCTATCTCGATTTATTTTCATTGCTTTGTGTTTTATATTTCACAAAAATTATTTTTTTGAATTGAAATTAATCAATATTCCAAATAAAAAATAGTTTTGCTCCCAGTATAGATTTCTGGAATTTATGCAATTATTTGAAAATTTTACGATACACACTGCATATGACAGAATATTAAAAAAACAGGATTATCAACAATTTTCAACGTCATACCAGAATAAAAAAATCAGGATTACCAACAATTTTCGACGTCATATCAGATTATATAACTACTGTTTTGATAATAATTGAAACTTACCTTCAATAATCTTGAAATATTGAGGATCGACATCAAGAATAGTTTTCATGGTGTTAATGGAGGGTTCTTCCACGTATAACCGGTTCAAAATATTTCTTCGCAGTTTATCGCGATAGCAGAATTTTTTCCGGCATTTCAAACCCAATTCTCTTACTCTCACATCATTTCTCCAAGCTTTCGTCATAACTCTATGAGCGAACTCCTCCAGTTCTTTGGGATACGCAAATGGAGAAGGTTCTGAATCCAAGTCGTGAGCATTACTTGCGTTCACCTTCGAGCCCGCCGTAAAGTATTTTTTTGTTGCCGATATTTTCGGTTTCAAAATAGATTGAAGTCGACGAGACTTTTTATTTTTGAGCAGGACTTTTGGCTTGTCTGGCAGAATTTTCTTGGTTTCAAATTCTTCATCATTTGACGAACCAGACTCAGAAGCAATGGGCAATTGATCTGGTAAAGATGTTAACGATTCTTTAGATTTTTCATTCCATTGATCCATTATTAGGATAGTTCAGCTTCAAAATATTATTTTATTCAAATTGACATGAAAAACTCATAGCATGAGATGCATGTAACTTCGACAGTCTTAACGGCAATGCTACCAACTGACATCAGGTTGGTAGGTACGTAGGTCTGGGATATGCAAAGTATTGCTAAAAATGATTGTGTTTGGTTCTCCATTAACTTCGTAATATGTGAAGTCATTAGCAAAGAGTACCGTATTTTCACACCTTTGGTTCTGAATCGGTCAATAATAGCTTACTGAAACACGTGTAGCATACAAGAATAAAAATAGTGTCTCTCGACGAACATTTCGCTTACCAAGTTGGCATCATCAATCGATGACTGGAATTAAATTTTACAGCTACATTAATGTTTTATGAGCCTCTGAACGCAACACCACCTTTCCTAATGAGGTTCATTAAATATATTCCTGGTAATCATTGTGTTATATTATTATTGTTCCTGATAATAATTACTGCCTGTTTCGATACGTAAAATTCACCGGTTTTCTACTTACACACAAAAGTGAACAAGGAACTATTCATGTGGAACTCATTTCACATTTTTCGATATCTTAAATTTTGAAGGCATCTAAAAACCTATTGTCATGTACTGGTCTAGACAATTTCAAGCATTCCTCACTTATTCTATAGTCATTCAATAAGGTATGTTGAGCGACATCGAATATGTGAAACATGTTTCTCGTATTAGCCACCTTATTCTAACCAACGTACTTTTTATCGCTCACAGACCATTTCGTAAATATCAAACTTGTCCTTTCTTATGTAACGGTTAAACGTTACATTATTTATTATAACTAAATTTATCATTATTATGAGCCCACTATCTAGTGATCAAGAGTAAAACATTGGATTCGTTCAATGAATCCATAATCATTGTCTATAGATTTATAGTCAGTCAACCTTATACAACCTTATATATTGGAGGACGATGGAAACGAAAAGTAGATGGCGCCAATACCGTGGCCTCCAAAAAAGAGATAAAAGATTGAGATGGAAAGTGTCATAGTAAAAAGTTGTAAATTATTATTTTTATGTTACTGACAGGCTTTGTCTTCGTGTCCTGCTCAGCCAGCCATTTGCGTTGCAATTTATAGGCATATAAGAGTACTTATGTACGGTGTTAGTAGTGAATTTTTGTGATTCTGATATGGTTTTATTGTTTTCTTCGTAGTCAGTTTGTGTTATTTGTGCTTTTAGTAGTTATTAGTTTATGTTATTTGTACTTTTATAAAACAATAATTGTGAGTGAGTTGTGAGTGCACTAGGTTATGTTGCAGCAACTTTGGAGAATAGGTATTTATTCACGACCTGAATAAATTTGAAATTTCATGTTATTAGATCCTTTCAAATGTATTTCCAAAATGAATTATTCAACAAATTGAAGTGGGTGCAATAGGTTATGTTGCAGCAACTTTGGAGAATAGGTATTTATTCACGACCTGAATGAATTATGTAGTCACCAAAATGAAATTAAATGGCCATTGTTTGTCCAAATAATCTTGGGACATATAACATTTCACCTTCTGGTGCACCCTCTCCACATACCCAATGTGAAAAATTATACATTAAAATTTGCCATTTTAATTTCTTTGGTCTTTGGCCTTTGGCTAGTACCCTTGTGAAACAAGTGAACTAATTTTCGAGTTGGTGTTGGTCATTTTGCAAAAAATACTTTTATATTTCAAAATATGTGATGAATGTGCACTAACTGGTGAAAATTTTATGAATAATGAGATTATTTGTATCAGCAAATTTACCTAATTGAGTTGTTAGCCTTTTGTTTCTTTTACAATTTTATCTTCATTTCCAGATGTCTGGCAATAAATGTGCCTACAACAAATGTGGACTCTCAACTAGAAATGACCATAGTTTGAGTTTTTTTCCGTTTTCCTGTCAAAGATCCCACAAGATGTTGATAATGGATNTTCCCGTAAATTTTTTTCGACCATTGTATTGTTCTCGATGACTTTCTGTTATACTTCTTTATTTTGAATGAAACACCCAATATATTATTATATTTTTGGATATTATATCAGAATTTCAATACTCTTTGAGTATAATAACCTATATCTGAGTTCAACTGTTTTTGACATATTTTAAGTTTTCGTGTCAAAAATTATGTTTACAGACCCAAAATCAAATTTTTCTATAAGGAGACCTTTATCATTATATTTTGTTCGGGTTCCTTTTAGAGGGGGGCCAAATTCAATAGAAATTTCGATAATTATCAATACAGGATAGTTAAAAAAGAAGAATATAAATGAAATTTGATAAACCATCTGAAGTAACTTTTTTATGATTTTTATTTTTATTATTTAATCGTATAAGGCTTTAAGAATAAGGGCAACTTTGTATGAGGATACCTATTCCGAAAGTTAGTCGTTTTTGAAATATTTGCAATCTGCTCCATCTGATAACGAAACAAAAAATGTCGTATATCACAGGGTGCTTCATTGAAAAGTGCACTCTTCAGTGAAGCACAATTCTGGAAGAGAGAAGAGGTAACTTTAAATGGCTTCTACGATCATTATAATTGATTATTTTTTGGTGAAAATTCCGCAAAAGTTGAATCTGTAGAAAACAACCAAGATTTCCGTCAAAGAATTTTCTGGGAGCACCGTCATATCATTCTGGAAATTGAAAAGGGAGTGACTAGTTACTATGGAAAAAAGCGTGTTGGCTTTCTTCTTCTCCATCTTCGAACAAAAAATGTGGGAAGTTTCTTTCAGAACAACCACTTTCATATGAACATTGAATTACACGAAAATCACTTTTGATCATTCAGTTTGTACTATAAACATTCGTTATGAAATTGGAACAGATATCATTCACACGAACGCTACACAATGTAGCATATCATTGGCCACCATCAACTTTTTTAAAAAAAATACGAGCCTGTCTTTTTTATTACAGATATTGATAAAGCGATAAATTCACAATCCAAGGGTATATCACATTTGATATTTTCATAGCGTTTCATTTGAAATAACCATCAGTGACAACAATCGAACAGAAAAACAATTTATTTCATCATGCACTTTTGGGAAAAATGAAACCAATACAGTGAATCAAAGCTACATGGTAATCTACATTAAATGCTCGAATTGGCGACCTTTTTTTTGAATGCACATAAGTTGTCTATCCAGATTATTTCTGTGACAATTTTCTAGCATAATGAGTGTAGTATCAATACATGCATCTCTAGTTTTTTTTGAGATGGTCAATTTATAATAATGAAAATAATAATAATAATAATAATAATATAGCGTCATCCAATCGGTTTCCGAATCGGAAGGACGAAATCCCGGCCTTGCGGTTCGGAATATTGAACGGCGTGTACACAAGATGGAAGCTAAGATCACGTCGGCGAGACAACACGCGTCTCGTATCCAATGTGTGATGGATTACAGGGCGGCCAACAGGCCTTTCACGCCCGCACTGAGGCGAATGGCCGCCAATCTACGACGGATACATCACACTTTAAGTCAAGGCGTGCTGCTGACCACCAAACAGCACTGCCTTGATAAGATACGAATGCTAGTGGCTGCTAAGAAGTCACTAGTGAGGCGAGCGAGAGATATCGCGGAAAACCTTAGGTTCCGCGAGAGACCCCCTCGCTTATTCCAAGAGCCTTCACGTGTTGTGGATAATCCGCCGACAGCTGATCAGGTGGAATCCTTCTGGAAGGATATCTATGAACACCCGCAGCCACTCAACTTAAACACTCCAGCCCTAGCGCAGTTCGAAGCTTTCAATAACCAAACTGCATATCCGTAATTTGCACGATTCCTCTGAATGAGGAAAAAAAACTTTCTTATTAGTCAGGCTATGCTTGAAGACTGGCAGTAAACAAATCTAAAGAAATGAACTTTAAACGTTCAAGCCAGTCTCGAATATACCTACACAGTAGGTTGAATGGACTGACGCCTATCAGAAAAACACCTACTCCCCTGGCTAATACCACGAAGGGCGTTGGATTAAATCCAACAGGCGTCAGTGCAGGAATCTTCACAGAAAATTTCGTGCATATGCAATTGGCAATACAACTGAAAGAGTCGACTTTCAGTTTTGGAACGGGCACACTTGCAGACCGGTTAGAGTTCATTTCTTTAGATTTGTTTACTGCCAGTCTTCAAGCATAGCCCACTGACTAATAAAAAAGGTTTTATTCCTCATTTAGAGGAATCGGGCATATTACGGATAAGCAGTTGGTTAGTACCTCGTCCACTAGATAGAGTGACATTTTGTTGTTCGCTCCAACGTAGGAAGAGGAATGAAATACTCTGAAAGAATTCCGATTTTCAATTATGGAATATCATTGACTTTAGGTCGATGATGGCCACTATCTTGCATTGTTGAGTGGCTAATGAGATTCCCCCATTTTTCTGTATCAAGATGGAGTAGTAGAAAGCCAAAAACTTTCTTTCCCATATATTTTCTTGTCCATAGACATTACCCTTACGCAGAAGGGGATTCAATATCGCGAAAAAATTCACCCAGGAATTTGTTGAAACTCGGGTGTCCTTCAAAAAAAATAGATGAGGTAATTATGAAAGGAAAATTTAGAGTATGTCTTCATTAATTTGCGACTATTCAGAAAAATTAAAACCTAAAATTCATAGTTCTAGATATGAACTAAAATACACCAATGGATTGGATTTTTCGAAATATTCAAAAGATTGAATATGAAAGTGGCTTTCCAAATTGCCCGTACTCTTCTAAGGGTGTTGTGCAGGCCGAAAGATAACACGACGAAACAGAAACGTCTAGGATTTACGGAATATAATAGCTCGCTACAAAGAACATGTGTCACATATTCGAATTCATGGACCACAGAAGTCTATTGCCACTCAACATGCCACAGTGAACCACCACAGAATAAGTGAGCAATGCTTGAAATTGTTGAGACAAAGGTTTGATGCCTTCGATAGTTTCGAAAAAGAAAAATGTGGAATGAAATCAGTAACAGGGTTTCCATTCCAAACAGCCTCTTTGTCGTAATTTTTTTCTTATTTAGATTTCAAACCGCATCAACCACATAGGGTTATTAGCAACGGTACATGCGGTATACATATCGGTATAAGTACATTAAATTGAATTAAATATATGGATTCGTTTGACATATTCTATTACATCATTCCATTCTCAATTAAGAATGGTGGATATGTCTCAGGTTAGCTTCAATTCGTTTATCTCTTGTTGGTGCTGTTGACATGTGAATAGGTGTTCCACTGTTAAGTCCATGTTGCAATTTCCACATTTACTTCGAGCTTCCTTTTTTAGTAAATGTTGGTGAGTGAGACGAGTTTGTCTAATTCTTAGGCGACTTATGGTTATTTGATTTTTTCGACTAAGGGCAGCATAATTTTTTATTTCCATGTTGGGATTTATTTTGTACAGTTTATTGGTAGTTGAAGATTGCCACTTCTGCTTCCAGATAGCGTTTATGGAAGTTTTTATCTGACGATATATGTCTGTGTGTAGTGTTTTTTCAATTGTCACTGCACTAGTGTTTAAGAGGGCGTTACGTGCCAGCATGTCGGCTTTCTCATTTCCTGGTATCTCAATGTATGAATATATCCAGATTATCTCGACTCTTTTTCCTTCTTAGTGAAGTTTGAAAAGCTCGTGCGATGGCACGATGGCTGTGCGATGGCATACACCTCTCCAGTGTAAATACTGCTGACGCTAGGTAGTTTGTAACGTTTACTCTCATGTTTGCTGAATACGGCTGCTCCCACACATTTTTCTATTTTAGAAGCATCGGTATAGATGTGATTGAAGTTAGAGAACTCAGAAGAAATGACCTGGAATGATTTTCGGATCAGTGCAGCAGGAGTTCCATCTTTCGGGAATATAAACAGTTCTGTGTTACAGGGTGGAATATCGATTAACCATGGAGGAGGAGTAATTAAGGAAATGGGATAGGTAGATGAGAGGTTGATAGTGACAGGTATTCTGTGGATGCGGGTATATATGGGCGGCATGATGTGAGTCTTTTGTGGGTATATTTCATTTATATGCTTGGGAAAAATGCGACTATGAGTAGGATTTTTAGGATTGGATGAAATTCTTGAAGCATAGGTCATACTGAGGTAGTTTTCCTTGCATTTCGAACACGTCGGTTTTTCAATTCCATCCAAAGTTTCTTCTCTTGTAAAATAATCTAAACATTGCCACAAACTCAATTTCAAAATTGCTTCTCTAGCACTTGAGTACACTATAGCTCCTTAGTCTAATTTTGATCTCACTGTTGCTTTATACAAGTGCATCAGGGTTCAGTAGGCTGCACCCCAAGAATGGCTAGCTAGTGTTTTTAGTAGGTTAAGACCATTTTGGGATGACTGAGTTTCTCTATATGTTTTTTTCCATAGAAGTTTTTTATCGAAGATGACTCCAAGAAATTTCATGTTATCAACGAATTCCAGTTGTTGATTGTACAAGCTTGAGGATGGATTCTGCACATTGGAATTTTGAGTGAATACCATGCATTTATTTTTTTTGGCAGAGAATTGAAGTCCTGTTCGCTTGGACCATTCTTCGAGATGTCCTATGACATGTTGGAGGAGTTTGATTGATGATTGCATATTTTTGCCATTCGTGTATAAAACTAAGTCGTCAGCATAAATGTTAGCTTCAATCGGAGCTACAATATTTTCCAGGATATCGTTTATGGCACCCAGAAAAAGGGTGGCATTAAGAGATGAACTTTGTGGAATACCATTTTCTTGTGTCTTGAGGTCAGAGAGCTCCACTCCACCATTAGCTCTCACTCTGAAGGTTCTGTTTCCCAGAAAATTTTGTATGAATGCGAAGATGTTTTCATCAATTTTCCAGTTTTTCAGTTGTTTGAGCACTTTATATTTCCATACCCGCTCATACGCTTTTTGTAGATCGAAAAACACTGCTATTAGTTTCCCAAACTACACCTAAATGATTTGATCTCCACAAACTTTATCATCAAGTAACGGCCGAATCAATCAAGAAAAAAAAAATTATTATTGGCAAAAAATGCCTCCCTGATGTCTGTTTCGAAATTCACAAGATTGTCTAGAGTGGATCTATACTTTCGGGAACCGCTTTGTTCAGGAATCACAAGATTATTCTGTTCTGAGAAGTAAATAAATCTTGCACATGGTACACATGCACATGATACAGATGGGGGATATAGGTTTTTACGAATGTGGGTCTGTTTTGTTCCTATTTCATTTCAGTATCGGGATTAGAATTACTTCTGACCAGCTGGATGGAAACTGATTTGAGAGGAATATTCTGTTCATAATTTTGAGAAGATGATGTTTTCCTGATATAGAGAGTTTTTTTTAAATATATATGTTATTGTATCATGGCCGGGGCTAGAATCATTTGCCTTTGAGAGAGCATCGTTCAGCTCCACGATTGTGATAGGTACATTCAGATGGTGGTGGGGGTCTTCATCAATTTGAATTTCGTCAAGTTTCTGGATTCTCTTCACTTGTTGGAATTATTGGCTGTATGCATCATTGTTCGAGTGTTTCTGAAAAGTGTCGCTCAGTATATCGGATATTTCAGCCTTGTCGTAAATTACTGAATTTCCCATTTGCAGCGCAGCTATTTCCATATTCGTCTTGGCACCTTTTATCTTCCTATTTTTTTCCATATATCTGACATAGGGGTGGAAGAATTGATGAAGAAGACATACTTTTTCCAGGACTTCTTTTTGTTCTGTTTTATTATATATCTCATTCGTTCCCGCAGCTGTTTGAATTAAATGAGATTTGTTTCAGTGTGTTTTCTTTTTAGTCTGTTAAAAGCCGTCTTCGTCTGTCTGATAGCTGATTCGCACTCTTTGTTCCACCAGGGGACAGGAAAGTGTCCCACTACTTGTGCTGTTTTTCCTATTGAAGCATTGGCTGCTTCAGTGATGATGTCGTTAAACTGTTTAACATAATTGTCGATGTTTTCTCTTGACGGTAGTGGCATCTGGTTCAGTTTATTATCTACGATTTTTTCATACATATTCCATTTTTTTGTGCTAGCATCTCCCAGCCTCCACCTCAGGGTAACCGCCTCTAGAGTTCCGGGACTACGACCATCCCGAATGGTAATGGGCAGATGATCACTGTCGTAGGAAAATAATGAAATCTTCCAAGTAAGAAGTGGGAAAAGTTCAGGATCACATAGACTCAAATCGAGTATGGAGTGGTTTCCAGTAACTGAATTCCATTTTGTCACTTTCCCAGTATTTAGAAACATTAGACCGGATATATCCATTACTTCCTCTATGACTGCCCCCTTATTATTCAATGAAACACTTCCTCATATAGGATTATGACTGTTGAAGTCACCTACTATTATTCGATGTTTTGGTATTTGTTGGATTAGATTATCCATTTCCATTACAGAAATATCTCTGTTAGGTGGGATGTAAATGTTACAAATGTTTATGCGTCGTGGTGATATTACTGACACTGCTATTTCCTCTATTTCAGTCAGGAGAGGGATCTCTCTTGCTTCTATAGATGCTGTGCAGTAAGTAGAAACACCGCCACTTGCTTTGTAGCCCGTTGTTCTGATTTTGTGAAAGGATTTTTAATTTTTAAGAGCATACTGAAATTGGTTTCGTGCAAACAAATAATTGAAGGTGAAGGTGAAGGTTTCTGTTCGCTTATCAGCAATTTCAGCATCTCCAGTTGGGTGAAAACCCCATTGATATTCCATTGTAATATGAATGTGGGATAAATGTAAATTAGATGTGATATCGAGAGATCAATCAGTAAGTCTCTAGCGAGCATTCGCTTTCATCTGATACTGAAATATTGGAGCTGGTTTTCAATTCTGCATTTAATTGTTTAAGAATTTTTATTTTTTGATTTGATTCTACGGTCCGTGAGTAAAGGATATATCTTCAATAGCATATCTAGCAAACCCTGAATATCTTCCGTATAATTTCTGCAATACTAAGGATGTCCGAAGCGCCAACTAAGTTCTCCAGAAAGTCTGATAATTGATCAAAGTCGTAATGATCGTAGATAAAAAAACAGGTTAGAATTACGTTATAACCGCTAAGAACAATAATACTATGACACAATATCAGGAATAGATTTGATGACCTTCATTAGGTAAGATGGTGCGTTCAAATGCATATGAGAACATTAACATAGCCATATAGTTAGTATTAGTCATATCCTGATGATGTTAACTTGATTAGCAAAACGCTCATCAGGAGACACTATTTTTGTTCTGGAGTGGAGAATGTGTTTTCAATAGATTCATTTCATGCCAGTGATTCCAACTCTACCTATCAAATATTAATAACTAATAGTGAACGAAAAAACTTCTAGAATGTTGTTCAAAACATAGTTTAATATCAAAATATTAACACCGTCATAGTTATCCATAAGATAAAGTATACCCCATATTTCTCATAAGAGTTTCTTTAATAGCGGGCTGCAATTCTTTCTGCAAATATGAAGTCAATAGTGATCTGATACCCTTAAGAAAAATGTCTTCCATTTCTTTTGGGAGTTCATCATTTTCTTGATAGTTACGTTTGTGTTCACGAAGTTTTGGTTCGCATCCGTAAGCATAAACGGAAATAAAGCCAGGCTCCACAAAATGAGAATCTGTTCTTACGTTGACATGACCCCTCTCACGTCGTATTGGCTCAGTATGAAACCTACAAAAAATGTAATATTCCAATTATTATCACAAATAACATATTCCACTAGTTTCATCAAGAAACAATATCTCAAAAAATATCATTAGGAGATTTGGCCCAAATGATTTCTCATTCAAACCGAACGAGGTACGAAACAACACCGCATGCAACAGACAGAGAAACGCGATACTAGTTCCAAATTATCGCTCTGCCTAAGTAACATAATATTAGAACCAGTAGTTCGGCTTCTTCAACTTTTATTTCAATTCTGAGGTAAACAATAATATTTCACGATCCAGTATAGATAAATGGTCTCTTAGTATTGAATTAACTGAGAAATGGTATGAAATGGGATAAAACAACTTATTTGTGTTGTTTATCAATTGCTTGAATTGAAAGGAGAACATTTTTAGGAGAGAATAATTTTTAGAAGAGAAAGAGAGAGATGAACAAATAATAATAATAATAAATGCATGACTCGATACAATATAAGCGTAACCTCTCTATGGCCTGGATCGATTACCGTAAGCCATTTGATACAATTTCGACTGAGCTCATCTTGCATTTGCTCAGATGCCTTGCGGTACCCGACAACATATTGAGATGCATTGAACAACTGATACCACTTTGGCGAACTCGCATCACCATAACATTTGGTCAAGCAAAAGTCGAAACAAGGAGGGTCACCTTTCAGAAGGAGTGTATTTCAGGGTGATTCCCTCAGTCCCCTTCTCTTCTGCATCTCACTATTGCCATTATCCGTTGCGCTCAGAAATACTCGAGGGTATAAATGTGACACTCCCGGAAGCCGGAGGAACAAGGTCACCCATCTGTTTTATATGGATGATCTTGAACTTCATGCCTCTGGAGAGAAAGATCTCCATCAGTCCTTGAGGGTGGTGGAAGCGTACACGCATGCTATCGGTATGAAATTCGGGATAGACAAATGTGCAATTGTCCATCTCAAAAGAGGACGATGCGGGGACTACGGAGTGGATGTGCAGCTCGTAGATGGAAGCATCCTACACCATCTGGATGCCGGAGAGACGTATACTTACCTCGAGGTGGAACAACGCCACTCACAAGAGATAACAGCAGTGAAAAACTGTCTTCGCAGCAAGTATCAGCACAAACTTTGAAAGATCTGATCATCGGAACTGTCGGGGAAGAACAAAATTGCTGCAAAAAATATGCTTGCCGTTCCAATCTCACTCTACTCGTTTGGGGTAGTGAAGTAGACTCAAGAGCTGTCTCGATGTAAAGACCCGAACAATGATGCATCTCTATAGGAGTTTGCATCCCAAATCGTCAGTTCCACGGTTGTACTTCCCCCGACAACAAGGAGGCCGTCGACTTTTGAGTTTGGAGTGTCTACATGACTGGATACAGCCTGTAAATTCGTCAGGAGTTCGGATTCCCTCCTCTGCATGGTCCGTGACCATGAGAGAGCAGGAATTGGAGTATTTCTCCTTAGGACAGCTGCCCGAGCAGCTGATGAACTCGGTATACTTTTCGTCTCTGAACGAGGTGACCACAACTTTGTCACCGAGTTGGAACCCGTTCAGCAAAAAGCTCAGATAAAAGCCGCATAGATCACCTTACTTCTGCGGAGACACAAGGATGAGCCAATGCATGGGGTCTCCTTCAATAACATTGGAGACCTTGGCTTATCAAAGCGCCTAACGTTCGCTTTTCTCAGATCGAGTGGGCTGTAGTCGGAAACTGAGGGGTTCATCATGGCTTACCAGGATGGTGTCTTCAACACCTTAGTCTACCGCAGTCGCGTGATGGGTATAGAGGTTCCTGACACAAGGTGCAGACCCTAATGCACTTGCTATCAGTATGTCCAGCATATGCGGTCTCCGCCTATATCCATTGACATAACGCGGCCCTAAGAGTGCTATATTACCATCTACGGCACTCTTACGGTATTGACGAGACACCGGTGTATGCCCTACGCTCCGGGGGATATTGTATCTGTTGTGGGGGACGAGAAGTGCCAAATTTATTGGAACTATTCGTTCTCCACCCTCAGGTTTATACAAACTAATAAGCCTGATGTAGTTCTTCTCGACCACCAAACCAAAACGATATTTGTCGTGGAGTTTTCAGCTCCTGGCGAGACCAATATCGTCTGAAAAGAGGAGGAAAAACGGATAAAATATCGAGATTTTCTCTTCGAACTCCGCAGACTCTATCCAGATCACTCTGTCAAGATGGTTGTTCTGATTATTGGAGTCCTTGGTGGAATGATGTCCTCTTTACTCTCGAATCTTAAAATCATACCGGCTTGCCGCACTAAAGGCTGTCATTCTTGGCTCAATGCGCTTGCTCAGGGCACATGATTCTCGGACCCAATAATCACTCACCCCACGGTGTGGGGAGTGGTCATTGGTTGATAATACTGGCGCGCCCTCCCGAATGTATCGGGGCTTCAAGGGATAGTGCCTGACCAGCGCACACAACGATGAAAAATAATAATAATAATAAGAGTAATAATGTTCATTCATCGAATATATATATAAAAGTTATACATACTTCACGAATATAAAAAAGGAGTAAATAAACAATGGCATAACAGAAGGATCGTCTACGTGATACAGCCATATTAGTAAATAATAACAATAATTACTAATAATAAATACATATGAAGTAAGGTAAAATTTAAAATCCATCATAAGGAGTAATATAAGAATAATCTTGAAAAAATTATGAAATAGTGTTTATATTCATAGTAGTTCAGCAACAATAGTTAGTGATGGTTGAACGCAAAATACATTTTTGTATGTGATAAAATGACCAATGTTTAGAAAACAGTGTAAACTAGTATGAACTGTGATAGAATAGTACAGAGTAATAAGAACAATAGGTTAATCAAAGTATTTGTGTTACATGGGAGGTTCTGAACATAGCCGCTATGATATTACAATTTGTTTGTTTTTTTTTTAGGGGGTGTATGGGAGGAAACGTTTCTTCATGTTTTCAACTATTCCGATCAACCAGTTTATGAAAAAATGATATTTTGATGAGTAATATCCATTTTTCAACTTTTTTCTTAAAACTTTTTTTGTTATACTTCCTGATAAATTCGTGGTCCCAAGTAAAATGCATGTATCTGTCCAATAGTTTCCTCACAACCAGGGGCTATCGAAGAATTATTTCGGTTTCATGTTTGGTAGGAGTGTTCAGCTGGGGTTAACTGAATATTATTCAGAATACTCATACACAATAACTGCCTCATGTCAGGGAACTGTGTATCTCTGAGATCACTGTCAATTGCGTATGTTCGGCCTTTGAGAAGTATTATTTTCAATATCCACTTTTGAATTGTATCAAAATTTACCAAATAACAATCTTTCACTCTTTTCCATCCGATTATCCCGTATGATAACCGGGACTGAACAAGTGCAAATATAGGGTTTTCAAATGTATGATGTCTAGGAAGGAAGGAGATATTGAAATTTAGAAAGTGTGCCTCTCATCCTGTGCGAAAGTAGCGATTCACATTGGATTTGAATCGCAGCGATTCACAATGGATTTGAATCGCTGAAGATTAAATCTATTTGGAAAAACTTTCTCAGGAAGTTCATTTCACACGAACGCAGTTCTCCAAATGGAAGAATGCTTGAACAATGAAGTTCGCAGTGTACTGAGTTGAACCTCAAAACGATGAGCAGACTCAGTCCGTCGCGTATTTATGATATGTAACACTCTTGGTACAATCAAATGTGCCAAGTCATTCGAACACTCCCGTGAAAGTCTCTATATGAGAGACACAAATCTCCAACCTTTCTTCGATGTTCCAGTCCGTCAATTTGGCAAGTGATGTTCGCGGATGGCTGTTTTCTGAATGGAATCCAATAACTTCAGGGTATGCTTAGGGGCCGAGATCTATACTCGAAGGAAGGTATGAACTGAGCCTTATAAAGCATCAAAAGTTTTCTGGTTTGGAACAGTGTTCGAAGCTTTTGAGAAGCAGCCTTTGCAATTCCAGCGACATGAGTGTGCCAAGGCATATTTGTGCCCGTTTCAACCCCTAGAAAACTTATCAAAGCAGAAAGCTGAATTATCTGTCCTGAAATTGTTGTATGTGGTTCGGAGATATTCATCTTTTTGGAGAAAGTCGAAGCCTGGGTTTTCGTGGCATTGCATTGAATCTGGTTACTTCCAACCTCAATTCTAAATCACTTCTAAATCCTCATTAAGATATGCGGCCTCCTGCTCCGTAGGCGATGTCCTGGAATCCAAATGGAATGACGAGACAAGTGTGCTGTCGTCAGCAAAGCAAATCCAAATATCTTGGATTCTTGGTTTTTTCCAATAAGTCGTTGATATATAATATAGATCCTTGGGGAACACCAGCGTTGATGGTGAAAGTATTCGAGAGATATCCATCGACGGCCACTTGCACAAAAATGATCCGATAAGCCATAGCTTCGAAGTTTCGCAAACAAACCCCCATTCCACATACGGTCAAAGGCTTTAGAAATATCAAACGCATCAGCTCTTAATTCTCCATAATTTTCGATTGCGTTATTCCAAATATGGGTCGATAGAAGGTCGCCTGTTGATCTTTGTTTCCGAAAGCCATATTGATGATCGCTGAAGATGTTAAAATTGATGATCGCTGAAGATGTTAAAGCCTTCCAAATATTTGAGGATATGGTGGTTAACGACTTTCTCCATGCTCTTTTTGAGAATAGGCTGAACGCTTCCAACAAGAAGGAAAACCCCCTTTCTTGTAAGATAGTTTGAAAAGTCGGCAAAATACTTGTGGAGTTCATTTGCGCACATTTTAAGTACGATAACGGGCATTTCATCAGGTCCAGACGTTTGTTGATATTGAGCTGTTTCAAAATTCGCCTGACTAGACACTGTTCCCACTATTGTGGGAATAGTAGGTGGTGTTTTTCCCAGAAAATCGACTAGGTACAAGATTCAAGCATAAACTAAATACCTAATATATGGGCACTGGGCACTAAACAAAAAAACAATCACGATGAAGAAGAACGTAAAGTTGATGTCACAGGTTANCTATTGTATCATCAAACAATTTTATTCATGTAACATTTTAAATCAAGTGTCATTTAAAATAGACAAATTTTGCGAACAATCATTTTTAATGTGTCGAACAAATGCATGAATAAATTAAATTCAAACAAATAAATTGTTAGGTGAATAAATTGAGGCATGAATATTTGTGACAATAAAAAGTAAAACGGCGTTCCATAATCCAGCTAGATTGTTCAAATACCGTACGTACTATGAGTCAGTTTGGAAAACACTTGACGTCGATGTTGTTGAGCCGACCTCTTGGAATAATCTGAATCTGAAGGTATAACAATGTCAATTTTTGATGATATATGAATTATTTTATATTTTTATTCCATTTCTACCCTCTCAAATGGTTTAGAGAATTCATAAATGCAATTAATTTTGTTCTGTCGAACAGTCGATGAATGTAGATATCACCCTGTGAAGTGTTTTTTTTTCTCTTGGCAGTACTCGTTGAATATAATTCATTCAAAATAAATATAATTCTTCAAGTGCCAGCCTAATTTTGTAATTTTGAAATACTCTACCAAAAAAAAAAGAAATCATTATACTGAATCTAATATAAACAAACCATTGTTCAGTTTTCCATGCTTGGGTCATTGTTTCGAAAGAAAGTATGAGAATTTCATTGTTAAACACAGTGTTATATGGTTAGGTGTGTCTAATGAATTTGTAGAGATTTAACGGATACATGTGTAATGATTCAAAAACAAATGCATTTTAAACTGATCAAGTCAAGCATTAATTCTGAACGTTTCAGTAAATTGTAACTTACCAAATTCCAGCTCGTCTGAGTCTCAAAATCATATTACAGGAATCATCGTGTTCCCGATTGTCAAATCCACGTTGTAAATCATCGTCGTTGAAAAGATTAACCTTCCCACTTATGGTGAGATCATTAAATGACAGCCGTGTTTCTAAGCTAGAGTTCTTTGGATGAAATCGACATTTATCCACTTTGACCTATGAGAAGAAAACAACATTTTCTACATAAAAAATTATCAAATAAATAAAATAGGTATTGTTAAAAAAATATTATATATNCCCGATTAACGTGGCGTAGTGCGTCAAGAGTGTTTATCACATCGACGTACGGGGAATAAGGAGTATTAATTTGAAGTTATGCGCCGCTTGCAGGAAGTAATACAAAGAAAACGTCCGATATTGTAGAGAAACGATTCATGGGTTTTACATCACGATAATGCATCTGCTCACTCGTCATTTCTTGTTCATAATGATGCCCGTAATTATGCCCCAGCCACCGTATAACAGATTTGACCCACTGCGATTTTTCCTGTTCTCATGGTTGAGAAGAGACCCATGAAAGGACGGCGTTTTGCGACGATTGAGAAGATAACCGAATCGTCGAGAGACCTCGGATATACCAAAAAGTGCATTTCAGAACTGCTTCGAGAATTGGAAAAAACGCTGGCACAAGTGTATTATATCAGGGGGACCACTTTGAAGAAGGATAATCAGAAAGTGATGAAATTTTTTGAGAAAAATGAAAATTTACCTAATTTTTCTCAACAGACCTCCTACCCTTCAAAATTTGTCAAACATTTTTATCGACCTTTTTTGGGTATTTTCACCTATCACAATATGAAAAACATATCAAAATTTTAGTAGGAAACATCTTTTTAGTTAACTCCGATGAGATACTGCGTGATTTCAGATTATTTTTCGCAAAAAAGTATTCAAAAAAAAGAACGAGAAATTTTACAGATACTTCACGTTTTCCGCTGATTTGCTTTTTTCGAACGTTCTTAGCAAATGTCAAAAGCGTTTGAAAATTGAGTGAACCACCTAGTATAATTGGATTATTTTAAATTTCAAAGACGGGGCAGAAGTTAGCCTCCTATTTTATGAGAGGCAAAATTGTCAAATAATACAAGTTATTGATAAACAAAACATTTCTTTTGTGAGAAATACTTTCAATGAATTGATGGATGTAGCCGTTACTACGTCGTGGGAGATCATAATGAAAAGAGAAATGAAAATTTCTATGTTTTTTACCACTTTTATTTGTAATCAACGTTACTGCAGTTTCGTCCTATATGGACATTCTCAAACAAGTTTATTGTATAAGTTTGAGAATGTCCATATGGGACGAAACTGCAGTAACGTTAGTTACAAATAAAAGTGGTAAAAAACATAGAGAAATACTTTCAATTTACGCAGTATCTGTATCGTCATCGTCCATCCTGTCCTTTTCAGGAAGGTGGACAGGTCACCGGGAGACACCTCCTTTATATCGACAGGTGTAGGCCAAGACTCGCCGAACACACACTCTTTTATTGACGATAACTCCGGGCACTCGCATAGGACATGCCTGGCAGTCTCATCCTCCTGTTCACATATCCTGCATAGTTGACAGTGGCCAGTCAGAAATCCTACTGTTAAGCGCAGATTTTTCCTGGTCATCGCCAGATATTTCTTCGACGCCAGCTTCCCAGGGTCGCCTAGGGTGATTGCATTCTTTGATTCCATGCCATCTCTTTAGGGATTGAGCATAGGTGTAACATTTGGCTAGTTCCGCAATTGTCGAAGTCATCAGGTCGTAGGTGCCACTGGGTCCTAAAATTCTTAGTCCAACCGCTTCTTTGCTTGGCTAAAGAGTCGGCAATGCGATTACCTTTACTCCTGCCGTGCCGTTTAACTCACCTCAGGATAATGTTATTATCTACCAAGGCTTTGGCTAAATGTTGATGACACTCTAGTACTAGCCCTGAGGAACTTAGACCACATGTGACACATTGTACATCCTCCCGAGGAGTTGTCCTCCTAGGTCATCGTCCATCCTGTCCTTTCCACTTGGAGACATCTCCTTTATATCGGTGTATGCTAAGACTCACCGAACACACACTCTCTTATTGATGATAACTCCGGACACTCGCATAGGATATGCCTGACAGTCTCATCTTCCTATTCACACACCCTGCATAGAGGTGTGTTCACTAGCCCCATATTATGGGGGTGTTTCCTTAGTTGACAGTGGCCAGTCAGAAATTCTACTATTAAGCGTAGACTTTTCCTGTTCATCGCCAAATATTTCTTCGGCGCCAGCTTCCCAGGGTCGCCCAGGGTGATCCTGGCGAGATTGCATCCTTTGAGTCCATCCCATTTCTTTAGGGATTGAGCATGGGTGTGACGTTTGGCTAGTTCCGCAATTGTCGAAGATTCAGGATCGTAAGATCCTAAGATTCTTAGTCCAGCCGCTTCCTTGGCTAAAGAGTCGACAATGCGATTACCTTCACTCCAGTTATGCCCTTTATCCCACCTTAGAATAATGTTATTATCTACCGAGGCTTTGGGTAAATCTTGGTGTCACTCTAGTACTAGCCCTGAGGTAACACGTTGTCTGTTCAAGGCCAATAGTGCTTGTCTTCTGTCAGTGCAGACTGTCTGGTGTTTTTGCCAGAAATTCCTGTCCTTGTTATTTCTTTTGTGGCGATTGAGGTACCAGCCAGTTCTGTTTGGACCACGCTGGTATTTTTCCCATTCCCCACTTAATCCTTAGGCTTAGTGATCTGGGGTACACTTCACATCCTGAGCCTTTTTTGGTTTTTGAGCCGTCTGTATATATGCGTATTGGATTTGCAGCATCTGACTCTGTGTTCTGTTTTATTTGTATTTTGTAGGGTTTATTAAACACAAACCTGGGTTGAATTGCATCACTGGTTACCTGCAGCAGAGGTTGCTTGCAGAAAGCATTTCTCGTCATGGGCCCAGCTTCAACTGACCCATTCCTACTTCGAGGTATACAGTAGCCGTGCGCAATAGTACTATGGCCATTAACGCAACCTCCTTAACGTACAGGTCCAGAGGTGTTTGACCCTATCTACGCAGTAACTTATCGGGGCGAATTGAAAAGTTTGTCCCTTCCACGCCAGTTCTCCTTCACAATTTTCATTTTTTATTAATTTTTTTCAGATTATGGAAAGTGAAAATACCAAAAAAAAGTCGTTCAGTATTGCACAATATTATTTTGAATAAATTTCGAGAAATCGTCTTTTCTGAATTTGCACTATTTGGGGCAGATAGTTATGAATGATTTTTAGCATTTACTCATTCATATTGCGAGCGTAAATCTGAGATGTCAGATACTCCTCCACATCAAATTCGGATAGTATTTGATTGTTTTTAATTTCCTGTTCGTCATCAATTTTCCTCTAAGAACAGATTACTCAAATCCTTACATTTTTTATTATCATCATACATTATCTAAGAACTCTTACCCAGCTTGTAGTAGACGGCAATCTAACATTCATATCTGTCACGTACATATCGAAAGGAGCACTCCTGAGCTGTTGATGTAAGGAGTAACCATCAAGATGAAAATTTTTTCGTTTGGTGGCTTGCCTTTCACGAATATGCCCTAAGGCTCTTTCTAATCTATCAGAGCACCGGTTACTGAATCGCCCACGATCATCACTGAATATATTATTATAATTACTGCTTTCTGGGACAGGTGGATAATCAATACTGATAAGTTTATCATTCACCCGATGTGGAAGGTTTTCTGAAACAAGATCATAATGTTAAAATATGTATTTCATCGAATATTTGAAACGCTAAAGACAATTCAGAAAAGATTTTCAAGCTACCAAAAAGAAAAGTTCAAAAAAACAATTTGATGAATGTTTTCGAATAAAAACCAATTTTCCCAATGCCAAGTGTCAAAGTATTTCAGAGTACTTTTTATGGCTTTTCAAGAACAGTTCCTCTTCAGAAATGAACTATCAAATTGGATTTGTATTTATATAATAATAACAATAATGATATCGTTTATTATGCATAAAAATACATTCATACATGAAAGGAAAAGGGTTAGCCAAAGGCTATCTTCCACCCTTTCCAAAAATTATATAGTATAGATACAATATAGATTATATCTTTTGAGGAATTATTTAAGATTTATAATAACGTCTAGGTATATCAAGTTGAGCTTAAAAAAGGTTAGCCGCAATTTATTTAAGATTTATAATAACGTCTAGGTATATCAAGTTGAGATTAAAAAAGGTTAGCCGCAAGGATATCAACGCCCGAGGTAAGTTCCTATATGAATATATAATTAAGAAAGACCTAACAATCTTGAGCAGAGGCACGGAGCCGACATTTATTAACGCCCGTAGCCAAACATTAATAGATATCACGCTAACGACAGCCAAAATATCAAACTGAATCCAGGACTGGCAAGTCTCGGACCATATCGCTATGTCAGACCACCGCTGGCTGACCTATACGGTAAGCCAGGATCTCATAACCACTGTAAAATCCCGTGACAAGAAGAGAACGGATGTAGCTCTCTACAATCGACTCTTAAAAGGAGCTCTGCGGGAAACAGAGGTCCTGACTCCTGGCAATAATGAAGAACTGTAAAGGTACACGGTATCTATTCAAAACAAACTGGACAATGCCTACAAGGAATCCTATCCGATGACGATGATTCAAGCAGATGGCACAACTAATACATGGTGCCCTGAACTGGAACACCTCAGGAAAACAGCGAGAACGACCTTCAACAGGGCAAAACGTACAAGACTCGAAGAGGACAGGGGTATATATCAAGCCATCCTCAGAGAGTTCAAAAAAGTCTGCAGACAAAAACAAAGAGAAGACTGAAGAGCCTACTGTGAGGCAGTCGAAGATTTCCAACCAGCTTCTAGGCTACAGAAGGCACTCTCAAATGACCACCATAAGAGTATCGGCATCCTGACGAGGAATAATGGCGAAAAAGCCACCAACCTAAGAGAATGCTGAGATTCTTATGGAAACTCACTTACCAGGTTCTGTCTTTCCTGAAAAGACGAACTGGACGGAAGTACCAACAACACCCTCACAATACGACTGGCAATCTGCTTGTGCAGTAATTGACGAGGACAAGATAAGATGGGCCATATCGGGCTTTTCCCCCTTCAAGTCATCAGGACCTGACGGTATAAGACCAGCCCTACTTTAATAGGGACTGGATATTCTCATGCCGTACCTGGTTGGAATATTCAGAGCCCCTCTAGCTCTGAGGTATATTCCCAGTAAGTGAAGAGAAGTACGAGTAGTATTTATACCCAAACCAGGTAGGTGGACTACACCTTACCAAAAGCATTCCAATCGCCACGACCAGTTAGTCTCACATCGTTCTTCTTAAAAGTTATGGAGAGGCTATGTTAGCGGTACATAAGAGATGAAGTACTAGTTCACAACCCACTTGTCATGGTATCAAAATCAGCATGCATATACTTCGGGAAGATCTACTGATTTGGCCCTTCACCATGTGGTTGGCAGAATCGAGTGATCATTTGACAACAAAGAATTCACCCTGAGTATTTTCATAGATATTGAGGGAGCGTTTGATAAAACAACCTTTCCAACAATTACCCAGCAACTACACTCCACGAATGTACCCCTGGTAGTAGAATGGATACTCAAGATGCTCTCTAGTAGAGCAATGAGTATCAATGTAGGAGACATCACAGTGAGAGGACTGGTCATGAGGGGATGTCCACAGAAAGGAGTCTTCTATGGAACATAGTTCTGTATACCCTGATCAATCACCTCAACAATAATGGATTCTACAAAATTGCATATGCAGATGACATAGTTATCTTGCAGGCCAGAAAATTTGTGAACACACTGTGTAATAGAGCACAGGGATGGGCTCAAATTAATAGAAACATGGTGTAAGGAACACTCACTGTCGATCAATTCCAAGAAGACTGAGATGGTCCTTTTTACCAGGAGAAGAAGTTTATCGGGCTCAAAACCTGCCGAAATTTTCGAAAGCAAACTAAACTTCTCTGAAGAGGTGAAATATCTTGGTACTATCCTCGACAAGAAGGTGACATGTAACATGGAACTGTCACCTACAGAGTAGAGCAAAAATAGCATATGTGGTTTATGAGCAATGTCGGAGGACAGTGGGACGCGCATGGTGTCTTTCACCCCGTGTGGTCATCTGGATCTGCACTGCAACCTATGTTAACGTACAGAGTAATTGCATGGTGACCGAAAATTCTATATGTAAGGCCATCCAAAAGCGACTGGCTTGTTTAAACATCACAGGAGCCATGAAAACAACACCAACTGCAGCAATGGAATTAATTACGGGTTTGACTCCGTTAATGAGGTTACGTTAATGGCCATGGTACGATTGTGCACGGCTGGTGTAAACCTCGAAGTAGGAATGGGTCAATTGAGGCTGAGCCTATGGCAAGAAGCGCTTACTGTGCAACCTCTGCTGCAGACGACCAATGGTGCAATTGAACTCAGGTTTGTGTTTAATAAAACCTTCAAAATACAAATAAAACAGAACACAGAGTCAGATACTACAAATGCAATACGCATATATACAGACAGCTCAAAAACCAAAGAAGGTTCAGGATGTGGAATGTACTCCAAATCACTAAGCCTAAGGATTACGTGGTATCGCAATTGCCACAAAAGAAATAACCAGGAAAGGAATTTTTGGCAAAAACATAACAATCTACACTGACATCAGTCTCCAAGTGGAAAAGACAGGATGGACGATGACCTAGGAGGACAACTCTTCGGGAGGATGTACAATAGGTCACATGTGGCCTAAGTTCTGTGGGCTTACATTCACTCTCCCTACTCTACAGATACAAAGATACAGATGTTTTGCATACTTATTGAGTTTTTGCCCACTCATAATTCAGTAATATGATATTGAAATAATTTTTACAAAGTTATTTTTATTGATAGTTAGCCTTCCGCATTCACCTACAGAGTAGAGCAAAAATAGCATATGTGGTTTATGAGCAATGTCGGAGGACAGTGGGACGCGCATGGTGTCTTTCACCCCGTGTGGTCACCTGGATCTGCACTGCAACCTATGTTAACGTAAAGAGTAATTGCATGGTGACCGAAAGTTCTACATGTAACGGCCATCCAAAAGCGACTGGCTTGTTTAAACATCACAGGAGCCATGAAAACAACACCAACTGCAGCAATGGAATTAATTACGGGTCTGACCCCGTTAAGGAGGTTGCGTTAATGGCCATGGTACGATTGCGCACGGCTGGTGTAGACCTCGAAGTAGGAATGGGTCAATTGAGGCTGAGCCTATGGCAAGAAGCGCTTACTGTGCAACCTCTGCTGCAGACGACCAATGATGCAATTGAACTCAGGTTCGTGTTTAATAAAACCTTCAAAATACAAATAAAACAGAAGACAGAGTCAGATGCTACAAATGCAATACGCATATATACAGACAGCTCAAAAACCAAAGAAGGTTCAGGATGTGGAATGTACTCCAGATCACTAAGCCTCACTAAGGATTACGTGGTATCGCAATTGCCACAAAAGAAATAACCAGGAAAGGAATTTCTGGCAAAAACATCTGCACTGACACCAGTCTCCAAGTGGAAAGGACAGGATGGACGATGACCTAGGAGGACAACTCTTCGGGAGGATGTACAATAGGTCACATGTGGCCTAAGTTCTGTGGGCTTACATTCACCCTCCCTACTCTACAGATACAGAGATACAGATGTGTTGCATACTTATTGAGTTTTTGCCCACTCATAATTCAGTAATATGATATTGAAATAATTTTTACAGCGTTATTTTTGTTGATAGTTAGCCTTTCGCAAACACCAATTACTTCTCACAAAAATGTAGCGAAACCAAGTTAAAATCAAGTTCAGGAAAAGTAAATACATGGAAAAGCGACCTCAAAAATCGTATATTTCAATTCTACGTCCGGAGTAATAGCGGGCCACTTTCATACTGGTGGTTCCTCCGAAGCGCATGCGCTTAGCCCCAGTATTGTACGAAATTCAACTTGGATATACTTTTAAATATGACGGGTGAGTGATTAAAAAAATATAGACAAAATTTACATAAAATTCGTTCAATATCCCAGTACTAAGTTGAGAGTGGGCAAAAACTGAACATTCTCCTCCAAAAAATCATGGATTAATTTAAATATAACTGGTAATTGGTGAAGCACACACCTTCACCAAAGCTCTTTTCAACAAACCATTCATTGTATGAACGTCGCCAACCCCTTAACCACAACCTTTTCTATATTAAAATGTTTCTATACGTGCAAGATTTCATTTCCTAGGTGCGGTTTATTCATTTTCAGTCAATATCATAGTTCCCAAAGAAACATGATTACAAATATTCCACCATTTACTTCCTCGCTGAAGATATTGATCACATCTTTTCCAAAAATGTTTCTTAAGATTTTTCAATAAATGACAACTATTTAATCTGCTCAAATTCAAATATGTTAAATCCAAACTCAAAAAATGTCGCGGTTTCAAAACTGACAGGTCATTAGGATCATTCCACGGTGGACACAAAGGACGCGAGTTCTTCAATTTGAGTGCTTCAATTTGAGTGAACAAAGTATAGAATTTTTCAAATGTCATTATTTGCACCCAAACTACGAAATGAATATGGTTTTCAACTGATTTTACTCCGGCTTCTGTCATACCTGAAAAATGTGTAGAGACTAGTGGATTGAAAGAAATATTTTGTCTATTCTTGTTTGAA